CTATTGGGCAGTATCAGAAGCATCTGTCGCCTTCATCAAGAACCAAAGAAAACAATTTGAAATATTTTGTCTTGACCTTTTGATTGACTTTTGAATGACTCCCCGTGTCCTTAAGTCTCCTAACAGTTGTTCTTGCTGAAAGAACTGACAGATAGAAGTATATTTATTTCTTCTGGGCACAATTCTTAGGCTGCCACCAGCAAACATGATTTAAGTAGTTCACCAAAGGTGAATAATTTTCCTTTCGTAGCTAATAAATTACTTATTCATAAGCTGACTTTAGTTATTGATTTATTTTTTTAATTCTACGAATAAATTCCGTTGTGGTGACGCATTCTGTTTTACCCTTTCCAACTTCAATGATCATCCTTTTTCTGTAAGACTTGAATATCGTGTCGCGTGCTTAGTTTGGTAATGATTATGTATACTGTACTCTTTTCATACAGCTATTATGTCACTGCTTATTAAATATAGAATGTAGTCATTTAATTCTATGACAAAATAATCGGCACTCTATTTCGCCTTAAAAGCACGAGTTACGAAGTCAACTTTTCTCTTTTTATTTGATTTTGAGACTGATATAGTAACAGTAGGTAATGAAAAAAATAAAAAGAACAAAATGTTTCAGAGTTCCTTAACAGATGATTCCACGAATACCACTATAGCAAAACTGTCCAACATCCTCGCGCGGCGGCGACTATGCACAAACATTTGCCTGTTCGAAAATACTTTAGAAACAGCGACAAACGAGAGAATACGACAGTAGCTTCAATCGCGGTTATTATTCTCAACTTTTCAACTCAACTATCAACCGTTTATCATAGCGTGCAATTTGATTATTTTTCATTTAAAAGACAACATCTTAGCGCTGGTCGGATTAAAAATAAACAGTTCGCCGGATATGGCCGACGGGTGTTAGTTTGCCAGCCTCTTTTCCAGAATACTGTTAATTGTTTTGTAACCGCAGAGTGCCTTAGTGTAAAGTGTTTTCATATGTCATGAACTTGTTATGTAAGTGTAGTTATCATATTTTATCTAAATGGTAGAGTAACCCAGCTGTACATAAAGAACAACAGATTCTTGAAACGATTCAACACAATCGACAGTCTACTTTAGAAGAATTTTAACGCAATTTCAAGTAACTTGTGCGTACGGGTGTAGCTTACATTGCTCTTAGAAACTTAGAACTTTTATTTCAATTTAAGAAAGAAGATATGTCAAATCCCTGGAATCTTGTGATTGGAGCACGTAATTAATAAACGTTTTGTTTAGTGCATTTTTTTCCATCAATGAAGCACTATTTATAAGTAAGGAGAGACAACTGTTTCACCAGCACTCACCACAAGCCAGATGTTATTATTTACGCTATTGTACATCCTTTTTAAGCATAATTTTCAGGTCCATATGGGTTAGTTTATTATTGCTATTAATTTATTGGTCCTGTTATTTTAAAAGTCTTCTTTCAGGCTGATTTTATGTAAATTTCCTGCAAAATGTGCTACCTGAATATTTTAAAGATGATATTTTAGGGATAGGAGTTGGCATGTACTTTCGTCTCGCTAGATTCTCTTCAGATCGCATCAAGCCAGAGATATGGTATCTCAAATAATATCCTGGGCAATCGATTTGATCAATGATGGAACTGAATGAAGAGCGAAGTCTGTGCTAAAGGAAACGAAGATGATAGAGGAAAGTCTCTTTACATTTTAAATGCTACATCTCGGATTGTAATAAATGAACACGATAAAATTAGCAATAGATTATATGAGGACTCGGTTGGGTGCGAGAGTAAACATTAACGGGAACATTACTAAAGCAATGATTTCAAAGACGAACTGTCCATTTAATACAACGCAAAAGCACATATTTCACTACTTAATGTATTAGCTTGTAGCATTTTCACTGATTTTATTTTTTTTCATTCTATCCTATATCATGACATATGATCAAGTAAAGATATTGTTCAAAAAGATGTAATCTGTGATATCCCAACAAATAAAATTTCCGCCGGAGAGTTCAGTATCAAACGTGTTCAAAGTATGCGCTTCTGTTACAATCTTCAAATTTTATTATTTTCAGAACACTAAATAACTCTAAGCAAGTGAATTCTAAATTGTGTTAAACCTGAACCCTAGGGAGTAAAGAGATAATAATCCGGTGTCCTTGAGCGATGTTTCAAATGAAAATTTTATTTTTTATTCAATCTCATGTTGAAAGCCTATAACAAAAATAGCTAAATGATGAAAGATTAGGATTCTGACAATGTGCTAAATCATGTAAATGGGTAGGTTTAAACAGTTGTTGCTTAAAATAAGAAGTAACATCATTTCGTTCCCAGTTTGTTGATTCAGAGAGTCTCACAATTTCATCATTATTCTGAATTTAATTTTAATGCATTACGCAAGCAATCATGGAGTATTTAAAGGCTTTATGTTGCATTAATTCACTTGAATATGCTACAGAATTAGTAATAAACTTCAAATTTAAACTCGATGGCTTCAAGTATAAGGTTTGCATGGTAAAGTTGGTTGTTCACTGCTTACAGCGTTCTGGTAGATACTCAAATTCTAGTAGAACGTTAGATCTGTTTTGTTTGCGTGAGTTTCAGAACAAGTGCACAGTATCTGTCGACAGTGAACCTACTGTCGTGACGTAAAAAGTGATTTCTGGTGTTTCAAGTGTTATTTCGAGCCCTCATCACGCCCGAACGTGACACAGAATTAACCATAATTCTATACTTACACGTGAGTCGGTTTTCCACTTTTTGAATATCTCTATGCAGTCTGAAGGGTCTCCACACGTTACGAAAACTTTAGCTGTTCATACGATACTCTAGAGTGTTCTAAAACCGAAAGCCGAAAGCAATATTTATAGACCTAAAATTTTATACGGATGGTGTTAACCTCTATGTCACGAAAGTGCAAAGAAAATAAATTCTATGCTATTTACATGTTCATTCTGTAATCAAAATTTTAGAACGTCATTTTATGAACTTTGGTACGAATAATGAATAATCTGGATGAATATAATAACTAATAACTAAGTAAATTTTTTTAAATTTAAGAGATACTATTCAAACACTAAAATCTTGGTGGTTTTACGAGATAAGATGTCTCGAAGAACAAAGTTAAGTAACGTCCATAGGCAAGCGTTTATTACTTACCTGTGCGATTAAATTACAATGACTACATAAATAAAACAACAATCCAAGTTTATTCTTTGTTGTGAAATTTTAGTTATTCTTCTCTTCATTTACTGAGAAAACTTTGGCAATAAATATAATTGGGAAATATGCGAGCGTTTTAAAGTAATTGTGATAAGTATCTGAAATCATTTGATATAGAAAGGAAAAAAGACGTTGCAAATAAAGGAGTTCAAAATTCATTCTGTTGAATTCGTTTTTTTATTATTTTCATCAGCATAATTATTCTTACGTAACTTTCTCGATCTCATTCTCAAGAATACTTCTCCCGATCCATTTTCATTACAGTACATTAAAGAATTCGTACAGAAAAAGCTACCCAAATGCATGCCGTATTATGCAAATTTAACTTCTGAGACGACGTTTTCGATATCTAAAGGCTTGGATGAAAGCCAGAAGCATACAACAAACATAGCGAATTATCCTCTGCTACACAATAAGGCATAAGGAACAAGCTCTCATCATACGGTTCCTAATAATGAATGTTAAATATTCATTAAGCTCTACGCGCCACGGCTGATTATATTAAACAATGCACATTAGTTGTCTAACATAAAGAAATGTTACGGCGTTCGGCTGAATATAAAAGCCATAGCATGTCATTATTTATACATGAGGTGTTATAACAAGTGAGCTTATGAATTTATTACTCGTTAATAAATTGGCATTTAGTCCAATTCAAACAATTACCTGCTTTTCTAATTTATGTGTCACAAGTGGTCACAAAACCAAACTAATGTAACAACTAAACCTAGAACGTGAATCGTGTTATCTGTAGAAATAAATAACAGAAAAATATTCATCTTTAATTTCGCAAGTAATTCGCTCATTATTTCAGCTCAAATGGTAAAGTAAATTTATTTAATAAAGTTAAAAAGAGTCAATTCTGTGCTAAGTATCTTCTAGAAATCATTCTGCTAATTCTATGAAATGTTTGACATTAATTTGATATCTTTATTAACATTCAGTTACCCTTTGAAATAAGTAAATAGTAAGATGAAAAACAAAATATTTGCGTTTGAAATTATAATTACAAGCTGTTGCTTTCAAATTACAGTTTACATTTTCAATAAAAACGAAATTGCGTTTGGTGGCCCAACACAGACAACCACTGAACCCTAGTGTATAAAATGCGAATATTTATTTACCAATTATAAATTTTGTTAACAAAATTTCATCAGTAACTTTCTTCTAAGTAACACAAGGAAATTAAATCTAAGTAGTGCTGTCAGATAAGCAGTGAATGAAGATGGGATAATTTCATTGAATATATCTCATTTAACATATCTCATATAAAATCTCTTAATTTCACAACTGTGCCTTTTACTGTTTGCAATAGTTTTCTAACAGTTTAAAGAGCACAGAAGAAATTATCAACTTATTAACTTTTTACTTGTTTATATTTATTTCTTATATGAATTTATTACTTATTGAATTACTTTAAATTGCAAGAATTAGGCCTCAAAGCTGCTCGATATTTATATTTTAACCTAGCACTGGCAAAAGTGTTGGCAAGTTTAAGAAACTTACTTTATATCCGATATTTGATTCTAATATTTCTATCTTATCTAACTTACTTTCTTACTTTATTCTTTAATTATTAATTAGATCAATATTGTCAGCTTGAATTTTACAATTGAGAAATATTAATCACTTTAATTATTAATTAGATCAATATTGTCATTTTGAATTTTACAGTTGAGAAATATTAATTCTTTAATTATTAATTAGGTAATTGTCAGTTTGAATTTTACAGTTGAAAAATATTCATCGCTTTAATGCTCCTTTTTTGTTTCAGAACACTACCACATATTTGTAGGCGACCTGAGCCCGGAAATTGAAACGCAACAACTCAGAGAAGCCTTCGCGCCATTTGGGGAGATTTCGTAAGTACATTATTTTGTATTACTATTCGCTGATAAGCGCGAATATTCAAATTTCATGTCACGTATACTAAATATGAAGTTTCGTCGTGGTGAGTTTTTTAAATGTTTAATCTCATCGTTTTAAACTCGGATATTTCTTTACTAAGAATTCAGTTGATTTCCTATGATGAAAGAATTATCACGATCACGTATCACGACCGGATGAAATAATTATCACGTATGCTATCCTTTGTTTAAAATAGTTAATAGTATTGAAAATTACATTGATGAGAATCATTTGAGAATTATAGGACAAGAATTAATTTGAGATAGAAACGTTTATAACGAGAAATCCATCAGAGAATATAAATTTTCTGTACGAAAAATTCGAATGTGTTGAGGATAACAAACACACAAGAGTGAAGTTTCGTTTTAATAATAATAAGTTACGTTTTGAATCCTCCAGACAAAGTTAAAACAAAATGAAGAAAGTGGGCATAAGAACATATAGGTTTTATACTGGCCATGGGAAGCATGAACGTTTTCTAATAAGTGCTTGTTTTGTGTAATATTTTCGTTTTCCCTTTTCCTTTTGATGTAGATTCCTGAGTCAAACGAAATATAGAGGATTTCTGTATAACGTGCATCTAAATACCGTTCACAAACTGCACTATTTTGTATATCTATTTTATATTTAACCAGTCGAAAATCAAATCCAATTTATCTGACTCGATTTAAGTAATTTTTTCAGAAATTTGATACTTATAAAGTTCCTTCCTAACACCCTCTTCTAACTTTGGTTTGAACAGATCTAGAGACTTAGAGGAAAAGTCTACATACCGGAAAGTGACCTTGCGTTGTCTATTAAAACGTTTACAACCTTTTTAGCTGAGAAGTGACGATGTTAGAATTTTTATCTTGGAAAAGAAGCAAGCTTGGTCAAACATTTAGCGCTTTTTAATAATAATATGAAACGTTGGGCCTTTTGCTCGTGACTCGAGCACAAACAGTAAAAAATTAGCAAAATTAAATGCATTGATTAAGCTAATACTTTGTCTAATAAAACTGCAAATATCTGAATGAAATGACAAGCAATACTGTGTTTAGAAATCACACACTTCGCAGATGTCTTCGGTGCCAAATTGTGAGCATGGATATTCCACAATCTTTTCACTGTAAAGAAGAACCATCTCATAGCAGTTATTCTCTTTATCTTTTCTGTTTTATTTAATGGTGGCAAAGAAAATGTGTAATTGATGTTCCGTCACTTTATTAGGAAATCCATCTCACATTAATGTATCCTTTCAAAGTAATGCATCAATGAGAAAGTTAGCATCTTGTTGCATTTTATTGTTTACTGTGAACAGGATAATTATTAATTAAAATTACTTATTAAGTAAACGAATTATTATTATTCCATACATATATCTATCAGTTTCCTGCAAACATTTCAGCATTGAACAAGGCAACCGAGTGATTACCTCCTTTCTAGATATTATTTGTTACTACCCTTTTGCATATTAGATGAAAACTGCGTATTTACCTATACTTAATGTCAAATGCTCTAAAACTGTATTATTCTAAATTTTTGCTTTCTTCATTTGTTTTTGATAAAGGGACACTAACTTTTCTAATTTACCATTAGAGATGCTTCAGACGTTTCGAAACGATAGCGAAACTTCTTTTTCCTTTTAGCATACTCTTCACCAATACTTTACAAATAAGTTGAAAGAATTAGATGGAATACTACAACCTTACATCATGAGAATTACACAATAAAACTCGTTGTACTTTTGTAAATTACATTCAAATCGGATAATTAAACAACAGCAACAAATCCTTAGACTTGCATGGATGTAAATTCTGCTAATTTCACCGTTAAATATGTAGCTGCGCTATTAAATGCTGTTTTATACGTTTATTGTTTGATAAAATTATTTTATCATTCCGCAGTAGTATACAAATTAAGCACGAGTTCTGTTTCCGTTTACTTAATTTCCTGGTTGTGTTTCATCAGTATCGGTTAATAATATACATTGCTGTATTTTCGCAAAATATATGAACTGTTAAAACTGTTGAAACTGTAAAGAAAACTGTTAAAACGTTACTCTAGAGATATCTGATTCATCTTTTATTGGAAGATCCACAATTTTGAATAATAAGCTATCATTTTATCGTGAATTATTTTTGAATTATCACATTTTAAAGCGGTTCTAAAAGAACACGACTATCGCTGTATTAAAGAAACATATACATATACCCCAATATTCCTGAAATACATTCCGTTCGTTATCAAAAATGCTTCAAACGTTAGATAATAAGACAGCATTTTCGTACCGAAAGGGAACCATGTATTAGAAATTACGCTTCTTTAACTTCATGAAATTCGAATTTAAAAAGACACCAGTGCAAGATATCGAATGTGTTGGTAATACACAATGCTTCGCGCCATGTCTAATTATCAATGCAGTTCTACCACCATCGAGAAACTAACTGAAAGGACTTTGTTGCTTTATAACGCAATTATTTAAACACGAAAATTTTCGGATTAGTTATGCGCATAAATTAAACTGTGAAGCATGTCAACACTTCAATAGCGGAAATAAATATGTTGCAACTCTGCATCGAGCTGAAATTAATCTTTTGTTCTGAAGGTGCCTGTCGAATCCCCCGAGACCTAGCACATTTACAACAATACATATGGCATCGCCTTTCAAACCGCCTTGCATACCCCTGTTAATGTAAGGATGGAAAAATAGATAAATTACCTTTCCTTTGGCTTTTCCTCGATACATGATCTACCTCTTCGTCGTTGTGAATATTCTCATTACACTGCCAACATTTATCATTCCAAAGATAAACCTGGGTCAAAATTATGAATTTCTGTTTTTACCTTTAGAAACGAAATGTTATTCTTGGTTTGGAGAATTAACCACTGGGAGTAGCTTTTCCACTTTATTACATGCATGCGTTTATGGAAATCGCACGAGTATCACTTTGCACTTTAAGTTTGTAAATACTCCGTAGAATCTATTATGTTTAATTTGGATTAGGAAAGCAATTAGTTTAGAGTTCACGATTTTTCTTTGAATTAATGTGTTTAATAATTATTAGAAGAACCATTATGTTACGTATGTTACGGGAAAGGCTCCAGTTTTTTACTATTTTAAGTATACTTTAAAATACGAATTTTGCTATTATACGATCTTCATATCTTATGAACTTCTAATCTGTTACACTTTATCTTTTTATTCACAGATAAATAACTAGTTATTTAAAGTATAATTCTGATAAGAATTAAATAAGTAGTAAATTTATTGTTGAATGAGGATGAATATGTTTAGAAAAGTAACTTGAGTTTTTAGAACTTCACAATTTCAGTAATGCTTATTAAATGGTGTACGTGATTATGAAATCAAAATTTCTTTAAAATAAACAAGGGTTTATGTGGGGTTCTTAATTCTGGGATTACTAACTAATTTTATTTAGTGCTTTTTTTCTCTTAAATAGACGTTGTTATTAGCTGTAGTTTCAAATGTTATAGCTGGAAAAATAATCATTCAACACAAATTTTATTGTTATAATGTTAAAAAGTTGGCCTTCGGAAGCAATGAAATTTTAAATACAGTTTCTATACTCTTCCGATGGCAGTAACATTACTTCAAAACAGATCCATTCATCCCTATATTTTTAAACAGCGTATAATAAACATCATCACGTTGATTTGGGGCAATATTTACCTTCGATAACATCAAATGTTAAGGGTTAAAAACTGAATGAAAACAATAGAACTGTGATAATGCAACCTCTTTTAGCGAATCGAAGAGTTCCATAATTGTTTCCTTTCATTTCTGCCTCTAAATATTAAAATTCGTGAGCTATGTATTTATTTAAACTTTTCTTTAAGTAGTTAGAGTAAAAAATTATGACATCATTTGCAAGTTGATAAGATCAACTTACAATTTACATGTCATTATTTTTAGTCTATTGTATCTTAAACTATCAGTTCTATTATTATCAGTGTTTCGCTTTTTGCCGTCACAATTTTTATATTGGTGAAAGTTTAATTTTATATTTTGTGCCTTTTTTTTTTCTTTTTTAACAAGCCTATTTCAGTAACAATTTTAAATGCCATGTAATCTTATCAGATAAATGCATAATTTTAAGTCTATTGCTTTCATTAAATATCTAAGAGATCATAAAGCAGCAAATTTAGACGATATTTTCGGGGCATCAGATACACGTTTCGTTTGAAACAAGTGAGAGTAATGTTTTCATTGTTTTTTTGCTCACTATATCGCAGGTAGGTTTCGAAGCATGTTTCGCTTTTTTTGCATCAAAAACATTTACAATGTTAAACTTTAAAGTCTTTATGATTCCCAAAAAATATGTATTTAATAAATAGTAATTCTCTCTTCGCGAGCTAAAGATTTCAACACTTACATGTATTGAAGTGCGTTATATAGGTTTTAAATTTAAGAACATAAAATATTTTCTGCAAATAAAATGTCACAATAACTGTAAACCGTGTCTTCTTCAAGCCACAGGTTTCGTCAGATTTCTAGAAAAAAAACAGCGATTAAGTTCCTGAAAATGCAGTCTCTTAGTAAGTGCGTTATATAGGTTTTAAATTTAAGAACATAAAATATTTTCTGCAAATAAAATGTCACAATAACTGTAAACCGTGTCTTCATCAAGCCACAGGTTTCGTCAGATTTCTAGAAAAAAAAACAGCGATTAAGTTCCTGAAAATGCAGTCTCTTAGTAAGTTGCTGATATTGAATCAGCGCAAACATGTAGAAATTTAAATACATTGTCATTAAAGATGTAAAAATGTAATCTCATAATAATAATTATTTACCTAAAATTCTGGCCCACCAGCGGCCGAGCGGTAAAATCGCTGAACACTGGTAGTTCGGTCCGAGGTTCGAATCCCGCAAACGGGCTGGCTGCATGAGTATTTTCGTGGTTTTCCCCATGTGTAACGTGTATACGAGCCAGTTTCCCTTAGAAAGTCCTCC